TTACTGAATTTGCCTCCAAAACAAAGATTAAAAAATTTTTCAGGTATTATTAATTTGGGGCATAACTATTTCAAATAAATGAGATGTCAAACTATAGTTTTATAATTAAAAGTATAGTTTTGAAGAAATATCGTTTTATTTGATTATCTTTCGAAATTACTTTCTTATGAATAGGTATTTTATTCTTGAAAAGTGGTGGAAATACCCGGATTGAAAAGTGTTGATATTTGAGAATATTCATTAATTTGAATAGATTGTAAAGTGTTTTGAGAACTGGAATGTTGGTGTGTGTCTGATATGAACTGTTTTCTCGTACCCACCTCTCATTCAACAGAACACGAGATGTTCTTCTAGCTTGTTTTAAAGTTGTGTGACGAATCACAAGCGCTTTCAAAAGAATTCCCAATTTCGTCATGTTGTTTGAACCATCAACAGAGACACCAACTATTTGGCTTAAAGAGACGTGATAATGGTGCAGTACCCTTACAACCCAAATTTGCCACCTATTGCTTGTTGTGTCACCATAATAACTACCAATCTTGATTTTAACATCTGATGGGTTATTTTTGGTGTACAATGTGCGAGCATACAAAGAAAACTTTTTTCGACCTCTAAGTTTTGTGCTGTCACATATCAAATGGATTTTAGTGTAATTTATTTCTTTATTTTTGATTTTTATTTGTGTTTTCTGTATTCACTTTGTTTGTTATTTCTGTTATCATAATCTGTCATTTGTCTTCTTTTATCGTGTTTGTTCTTTCAATTAATTCTAAAATACATGTCAATATTTTTTTGTTATTATTACGATTCTCAACTCTTTGTATGCTTGTCGTTTTATCTTCTTCAGAACTCAAATAATCAAGGCGTTCAAATGGATGTTCTTCAACACTTGAAGATTCTTCATCACATGTGATGGATGCGCTGTGTTGTTCGATTTTTTTCCATCGTTTTCAGTGTATTTAGTGTCAATTTGTGAATGGTCAACTACTTCTCCACTATTAACACTCGTCGACTCATCCGAAGTTTCGTAGTTGCCAATAATGACAGGAGTTCGTGTTTCTTGTATTGTTACAATTTGATTACCAACTATTTGATTTGAATCAATTTCTTTTTGTGCAACATTTATTTGTTGCACTTCATTGGTGTTTTGGTATGAAGCACTATGATTCTAATGAAAAAGTTGTGGAGTTATTGTAAAACTATTTCCAGTTCCTGGTAGGTCTGTTGATGTTAAAATGTTAACATTTTCACCAGTTTTAGAACCACTTAAAACCCACTGTGTTTAAAGATGTATTTGATAAGTCCTCAGCAATTGTAGTATTGACACGTTCGTTGCCTTCCAAGTTAAAAACAGCAAATTTATAACAAGTGTGTGGTTTTATAGAAAGACTTGGATCAATTACTTTGGCTTTTTCATTTAATTGATCAATTGTCATTTGTAAAGTTGTTCTTGTGATACCACATTTGTTCAAAGCTTTTTGAAGTTTTTTGTAATGGAGTCCAACAAGAGTGGGAGTGTAGGTGTTTTCAATTGTCATGATAGAATTCACTGCAAAAAAGTCAAGTGTTTTTTATGTGCATTAAAAAATGGAACAAGTTGATTTTGGTTCAATTCTCTGTGATAATTGACTCTCACTTTATCAATATCATAATTAAGGTGTTTTTTGTATTTATCACCATAAAATTCGTCACAAAAGGGGCAATAATGAAGACGCTTTAAGTCTCTATCTCGAGTTATAAACCACCCCAAAACTGGTTTAAATGTCATACTCAACTTAAACATATCAGCATGGGGATCATCATTTAAAAATACATTGGAGTTAATTGGTTGCGTTGACATTTATTTATATTTATGAGTTACTACTGAAAAAAAACTATTTAACAATTGATATATTATTTATTGTTGTTTTAATAATGATCCAATTCAATTATGGAAGCTATCATTTCTAATTACAAATATTATTAAAAGTGTTTAAAATAAATAAATTCCCATAATTTTTATTATAATATGTTTAATTAAATAATAAGATAATTAAATTTTATGTTTGTAATTGAATTGTTGTTATGGTGGGTTCAGTTTAAATTGTTTTTCAATGTTAATATAGATATACTTTGTATTTAATTATTTTAAATTGTTAAATTAAATAAATATTATTATGATTAGTTATTAAAATTAATTAAAAAACGATTTAAACAACTACTAGAATCGATATACAATGAAAACAGTTTACAAATAAAACATAATTGTAAAAAATAAACTTAATAAATATTTTTTTTTATTTATAATAATAACATTTTGTTTAAATATGTTATTATTAACACTTTTTATATTTATATAATGTTATTGGTATCCCGTTAATATACGTTTTATTCACCTAACATTTGTATAAAGTTAATTTTTTAATATAACAAAACAACTATTATACAACTATATATTATAACTTTATTTAAATATCAATTTTAACAAAAATTTTTAAATAAACATTTTTGAGATCTGTTTATATTAAAAAACAGGTTTTTCAAACATTATCCAGGGTCGGCCAAAATACAGTTTTTAAACAACTTCGTGGCAATCTCTAATACGTGTCAGTTCATTTTAAGTTTTAACATATTGTCAACAAAAAACTTAAACGTTTTTTTGAATTAAAATGTTTTTAAAAATTGGTAAAACTATAGTTAACGATGTAAACACAATTTCTGTATTGTTTAAATCATCATTACAATGTGTTATAATCCAGTTTTAAAGAACAACAATTGAACAGTAAAAAGCATATGATATTATGGGATGCAAAGTTTTTAAATTCAAATAATAATATTCACTCATTATAATTGTAATATACACAGAAGATACTAACACCCAATAAAATTTATTAGAAATAGTTTTAGTGATTTTAACATAAAATTTTTATTTTAACAATTAATATACCTTTTCAACATACACATTATTATTAATTGTATATATATATATATATATGTATATTTGTTAGTTTAACAAAGGTTTTGAATTGTTCATTTGTGTCCTTTTTAAATTAAAGTATTAATTGAACAATCAAATAGAAGTAATTTTATTATCTTTTGCAATAATACAAAACAAACAATGTATTTTTTTGGATGGAGTGAACCATATTACTTTCAAAACAATAAAACTTATCTTTATATAATTTTCTTGATAAAAACTATTATTCATAATACGATAATAATCAGTAAAAATAATAATTATCACCCAAATAAAAAACATTATCAAAGCAACTTTAAATAAGTTTTATTTACATGTATAATTTACAATTGAAAGGTTTTAACGTACAATTATATTAACACAAAGATATATGTATATTGTTGTATTCTAAAGTAATTTGAAAATAATTTTGTGTCTAATATAAATTATCGTTTTATTTTTTTCATTTTATCTTTTGGTATAAATAATTGTGTTTTGTCATTTTCTTTTTGTTTTTCAAAAATGATAATGTTATTTACCATTTTAATGTTTTTTAAGTTTTTTTTCAATAACATGATCGTTTGGCCGACCCTGTTTAATTTGACTTTTATTATTGTTGTTTTATTTATTAGTTTTAATATATAAAAATATTATAATAGATAATTTAAACAAAAAATAGTCAGACAGACTTCAGTGCCTCTCATCTCAGAGTGTTGTGCACGCACTCAACCCCTCAACAAGCAGTTCATCGTGCATTGCTGTGTATCTCTTTTTGGTACTGAAGCGATGAAAGTCTTCATCCCATTTTGTGAATTCTATTTGTTAGATAGAAAGTGACATACTCTAAGAATGATCCTAGTCGTACTGTCTAGTTTTTATTTTTTATTTCTTTATCTTTGTAATTATTGCAATTTTTAATAATTATGGGTTTCATTTTTATTTATAGTTTTCTTGATTATAAGTCTTTGCCAAAATTTCACAAACCTTAATGTTTGGCAAATTTTGAGAAAAGTGAAAATTTGCCAAATTATAATTGTAGTTAAAAAAATTGTATTTTTTAGTTAAATTAATTTATATATATCGATTCCCTTATCTGTATAGAAAAATATATTTTAATTTAAACATAATAAAATAATATATTATTTGATATTTTTTTACAATTGTGACGACTTTATGGGAATTAACAAAAAAATTAAAA